GAGCTGCATGGTGGTGAGATGTTAACTACCTCGCCTGGTATACTAAAGGTCGTGGGATTGATTACTATCCTGACACCTGCTATATGTTTGAAGTTTGCATTTGTCTCTTCCCGCGGTCGCGTGTATTTTTTCTGGGTCCTCCGATTGTACCTGCGAATTTAGAATCAACACGCGTTTAGAGTACTTGGCTATGGTTATCAATTTCCACGTGATAATCCACTTCATTTAGCTGTCATTTGTGATACCCAGGTCGCTTCACAACAATAGCTATATAGCTCAATCGGCCTTAGCTGAAAAAATGCAAATAAAACATATTTTTAAATAGTTGCTATAGTTTGTTCATATTTATAAATTGATTTCTGTTCCGTGACTTGCTTACCTTTTCTCTATTTTGCAATGGTGTCGTTTTTTTCGTATTATTTGTTGCTGTATCTTGCTCACCATACTGAACTGTGGTTAATATTATACAGGGTGGTCCAATAGTCAGGACACGTAGGATTATTGTTATACAGGGTGGACACATCATGAAGAGAATGTTCAATGGAGAACTTCGGAGCTCTTTGTTAATTTGAAGCACTGTGCAGGTACACAAATTTACCACAAGAGAGCGATAGGCCGTTGCGCAGGTGTGCGACCTGAGCATCGATTCTGGGGAGCGGTGGCGCAGCGGTTAGCGCGCTGTGCTGCGCTACAAACCCGGCAGATACCCGAGTTGGATTCCCGCTAACGGCCACATCCACCAGCACAAGTGAAAGAGATTTTCTGAACCCGTGCTGGTCCTCTCGCTGGATCGACTCGGCCTCAAATAAGCAACCGGTGCTGTGTGCAGTAAACATCGCTACTGGGGAGACAAAGACGGCTGGCGTGGTGCTGGCCACCCACTACCTCGTGTATCATTTTGGCCTTCATAGGCGCTGCTACTCACTGACACCACTTGCCCCAACAGTCTGTAAAGGCTATACGGCGTATCTTTGTTTTTTGTCATTGGGGAGCACAGGGATGCATTTGCCAGTCACCTTGCACATAACCTGGCACAGCAGTATAACCTATGGCACCTGGGTCTGTCTCGTGACCACCTCTTGCATATAGCCTGGCACAGCAGTCAACCCATGGCACCTGGGTCTGGTCTGTCGTAGGATATCACCAAATCCGTGTTCTTCTAATGCTGCATGCCTGTTGCATTGGAAAGCCACCAATTCAGAATAAACAAAACTACGACTCATCGTGAGCACAGCAACCGAGGGTTGGTGGATCGTGCACAGATATACAAAGACAAAGATCCCCCGTATAGCCTACAACAGGCTGTTGGGACAAGTGCTGTTCGCGAGTGGCAGCACCTATGAAGGCTAGCACTGCACAGGAGGGGGCGGGTGGCCAGCCACACGCCCGACCGCCACTGTCTCTGCAGTGGCGATGTTTACAACACACCACAGCAGGTAATCATGTTAGGCTGAGTCGACCTAGGGGAGGCCCAGGACCGGCTCCTCACTGATGGTGTTTGTGGTGGTGGCCATGAGCAGGAATCGAACTCGGGTCTCCGCTTGTTTCGTAGTGCAGCGCGCTAACTACTGTGCCATCGGTTCTGGCAGAGCCAGGAGTACTCACTCACTAACCCATCCATACCCTCACTTACCCACTCACTCTCCCACCTACTCACCCATTCACTCTCCCACCCAATCACCCACTCATCCAATCTCCCACGCACCCACTCACTATCCACTGACCCTATAGCCACTCTCCCCAGGCCCTTTTGTTACTCTCCCCTGGAGTTATAGCCCATAGACCACAGTATCTCAACCCTAACCATGGACTCTGCTCTTCACCTCACCCACCACACCCACATCACCTCATCCACCACACCCATCCACTCACCCTACTGACCATTCCTATCCACCCCACCCTCTCCACCCACCCCACCTACCCATCCCACCAATCCCACGCACTCACAAACCCACTCACCAACCCACGAGTGCACTCACCCACCCAATGACTAACGCACTCACAATCCCAGGCACAACTCCTCATTCACCCAATCACTCGCCCCATCTCACACCAATTAACCCAACCACTCAACCACTTACCCACCTACTCACCCACCCACTCACTCGCCCATTCAATCACCCACTCACCCATTTACCACCCACTCAAACACCAACCCACTGGCACAACTACTCACCCACTCGACCACCTACCCACCTACCCACATACCCAGACACTCACATACCCACTCACCCACCCACACACTCACCCATCCACTCGTTCACTCACCCATCCACTCACCATCCCATACCCAGCCACTCATTTACTCACTTACCCGCTCACCCCTTCAACCATCCACTCGGTCACTCATTCACCCACCCACTCAACCACCCACCCACTCACTCACCCCATTTCACACCCACTGACCCACTCACTCACCCACTCATCCACCTACTCACCCATTATTCCATCCATCCACTCAGTCATCCATTCACTCAACCACTCCGCCACATATATCCACCTACTAACTCACCCATGCAACCACCCACTAACTCACCCAATCACCCACTAACGCAACCACCCACCCACTCACACACACTCCCTCACCCACTCGCCCACCCACTTGCTTACCCACTTATCTATCAACTCGCATACTCACTCACCCACTTATTCGCTCACCCGTGACTTGCTTACCTTTTCTCTATTTTCCACTCGTGTCGGTTTTCTTGGTATTGTTTGTTGCTGTACCTTGCTAACCATACTGGACATCGGTTAATATAATACAGGGTTGCCCAATAGTCAGGAAACGTAGGGTTATTGTTATACAGGTTGGCCAATAAATCAGGACACCGCATGAAGAGAATGGCTAACGGAGAAATAGGGGCTATATGTTAATATGTAGCGCTGTGCAGGTACACAACCACTAGAAGGCAATAGACCAAAGCGCTGTTGTGCTATCTGAGCATCTGTTCTGAGGAGCGGTGGGGCAGCGGTTAGCGCGCTGTGCTGCGCTAAAAACCCGGCATGAACCCGAGTTGGATTCCCGCTAACGGCCACATCCACCAGCACAAGTGAAAGAGATTTTCTGAACCCGTGCTGGGCCTCTCGCTGGATCGACTCGGCCTCAAATGAGTACCTGGTGCTGTGTGTAGTAAACATCGCTACTGGGGAGACAAAGGCGGCCGGCGTGGTGCTGGCCACCCACCACCTCGTGTATCGTTTCGGCCTTCATAGGCGCTGCTACTCACTGACAGCACTTGCCCCAACAGTCTGTAAAGGCTACACGGCGTATTTTTGTTTTTTTGTCAGTAGGGAGCACAGGGATGCATTTGCCAGTCACATTGCACATAACCTGGCACAGCAGTATAACTTATGCCACCTGGGTCTGTCTCGTGATCACCTCTTGCATATAGCCTGGCACAGTTGTCAACCCATGGTACCTGGGTCTGGCCTGTCGGAGATATCACCAAATCTGTTTTCTTCTAACGCTGCATGCCTGTTGCATTGGAAAGCCACCAATTAAGATTAAGCAAAACTACGACTCATCGTGAGCACAGCAACCGAGGGTTGGTGGATCGTGCACAGATATACAAAGACAAAGATCCCCCTATAGACTACAGCAGGCTGTTGGGACAAGTGCTGTTAGCGAGTGGCAGCACCTATGAATGCGAGCACTGCACAAGAGGGGGCGGGTAGCCAGCACCACGCCCGGACCGCCACTGTCTCCCCAGTGACGATGTTTACTGCACACCAAAGCAGGTAATCATGTTAGGCTTAGTCGACCTAGGGGAGGCCCAGGACCGGCTCAGATAATCGTCACTGATGGTGTTGGTGGCAATGAGCGGGAATCGAACTCGGGTCTCCGCTTGTTTCATAGTGCAGCGCTCTAACTCCTGCACCATCGTTCCTGGCAGAGCCAGGAGTATGGCTCCTCCTCAACATCCACTCACTCACTAACCCATCCATACCCTCCCTTACCCAATTACTCTCCCACTCACTCACTCACCCACTCTCCAACGCACCCACCCACTTACCCACTATCCACTGGCCGTATAGCCACTCTCACCTGGCCCAATAGCCACTCTCCCCTGCTCATATACCACTCGACCCTGGCACTATAGCTACTCTCCCCTGGCCCTATAGCCACTCTCCCCTAGCCCTATAGCCACTCTACCCTGGCCCTATAGCCACTTTACCCTGGCCCTATAACCCCTTGACCCCAGTATCTCAGTCCTTACTCTGGACTCTGCTCCTCCCCTCCCCCACACATCCCTATCCCAGCACGCCCACATCACCTCATTCAGCACACCCACCCACCCACTCACCCCACCGACCATTCCCGTCCACCCCATCCTCTCCACCCACACCACCGACCCATCCCACAAAACCCACGCGCTCACTAACCCACTCACCCACGAGCGGACTCACCCACTCACCAATCCCAGGTCCAACTACTCATTCACCCACTCAATCGCCCCATCTCACACCAACTCACCCAACCACTCAAGCACTCACCAACCCACTCACCCACTCACTCAACAATTTATCCACCCACTCAAACACAAACCCACTCACCCACTCAACCACCCACCCACTCACTCACCCCATCTCACACCCACTGACCCACCCACTCGCTCACCCACTCACACACCCACTCAACCACCCACCAACTCACACACACTCACACACCTACTCACCCACCCATTCAACCACCCACTCACCCAATCACCCACTAACTCAACCACCCACCCATTCACACACACTAACACACCTACTCATCCACCCACTCACACACACTCACTTACCCACTTATCTACCGACTCGCATATCCACTCAATCACCTATTCACTCACCCACCCGCTAGTTCACTCATTTACCCACTCATTTACCAGCTGTACCTCCTTCTCACCCACTCACTCAGTCACCCGCAATACATCACTTTAACCCATTGAGAGTCAGCTGTGTTCAATGTGACGTGAGCACTCGTGACGAGCGATCGCCTTGGCGACACGGGGTATGGGCCCCCAGGAGGGGGTGGGCCCCCTCCTGGGGGCCCACCCTCTAGGTATAGGATGAATCACATCGGCCTGCAATCTCTCACGCGTTCTTTCATGCTCATCCTCAGGTATGCAGACATGTTACTTTTCCGGTTCATCATCTGACTGAGCAACTTGCGAAATCTTCCACGCGGAGAGAGAGAGAGTCTATGTGCGCAGCCGCTTGCTTGTCCACTCTCAGCTATTGACTCAAAGGGTAGTACAGGAACCCATAGAGTCACACAACGAGCCGTATACTCACATAGACACCCATAGACTTATCACACAGACACCCATCGACTCATCACACATACACCCACAGACTCAGAAACCCATAGAGTCACCACACAGAGACCCATAGACTCATCACAGAGACCTATTGACACCTCCTCATCCTGCCGTGGTTAGCAGAGCCGGTTTCTTCAGTGAGGTGAGTGAAGCTGTGATTGACTACTCCAGGCGCTATGTTTTTTTATTATTATTCATATACAAGCATTAACATACTATTATAATTATTGTTGTTTTGGACGTATATTGAACTTATTTCGCACTGTAGGTCGCCAACCGTGCTAATCGGAGGAGCTGTAATGCCTTTCGGATTGCGAAATACCAATCGCTGCGATGCACGCAGCACTGAATATATTCACAGTCTCTATGTGCCTTTATGGGCCTCTGTGTGGTGTGAGTCTACGGGTATCTGTGTGGTGAGTCTTTGAGTATCTGTGTGCTGTCAGTCTATGGGTCGTTGTATGATGAGTCTACGGGTATCTGTGTGGTGAGTCTTTGGGTCTCTGTGGGGTGAGTTTATGGGTCTCTTTGCTTTGAGTCTGTAAAGTTATTTGCGTGCCTACCCGTAATATTGAAAGAATGCGTGGTGCATCATAGGTCAGGCGTATATTGTACAGTGTGGAATGCGAACTAGCAAGACATTTGATACTTTTTTATCTTATCGATCACACATATGCTGCTCTTAAAAGAACAAAGATCCCCCTATAGCCTCTAACCAGCTGTAGGGGCAATTGCTGTTACCAACGAATAGCAGCACCTATGACACACAAAGATCCCCACGTATAGCTAACAGGTTGTAGAGGCAAGTGCTGTTGCCCCTACATCCTGGGGGCGGGTGGCCAGCACCATACCTCCTTTGTCTCCCTAGTGAGGATATTTATTTAATACACATCGGCCCAATCAGGTTACTCATTTGAGGCTGAGTCGACCTAGTGGAGGCCCAGCACCGGTACAAGTAATCGCTGCCTTGACTGGTGGTGTTGCTGGTGACCGTCATCGGGAATTGAACTCAGGTAGATATCGGGTTCGTAGTGCAGCACGTTAGCTGCTGCGCCACAGCTCCCCACACACACACTCTCTCACTCACCCACTCACCCACCCACTCATCCACCCACTTACCAATTCACTCACCCTTCCACCCACTCAGCCATTCACTTACCCACCCATCCGCTCACTCAATCACCCACTCAATCACCCACCCGCCCACTCGCACTACCTACAAGTCTGACGTTTCGGGCGGTGGCTCAAACTCGTTACAATGGAGCTAATGCGAGCGTTGTCATCGCTTCTCTTCACAGATCTCGCCATGGCATTCGCGAGGCTGTACCAATCAAGGCTGAACCTTGGCCAAACCTTGCAGACCCTAGCTCTACTCTTGTCTTGTAAGTTTAAGACGACAAAAATCTATTGAAAAATAATTGCACGATGCGATAAAAATGTTTTCAAAACGTGTTTACGGTAATGACAAGGATTAATACGTCGGATTTCCCTCCATCCACTTTTATTTCTGTTCTGTCTGTATTTTACCAGGTACCGCCCACCGAGCTGTGTGACTTTTTCAGAAGCGACCTGGCGGTCAAAAAGTATAGCTCATCTACGTGGTATATCATCACCATGTGGACATTTAATGGAGTCAATTACTCGAAATGGGTGACGATTCTAAGTGAAGAGAAACGAGCTGCTTAACTCAGTTGGCCTTACACCTGGTAGAATACAAAATAGTTTTAGTTTTTAAGTATTTTTTTATAGAAAATAATATTCTATTTCAAACCGTACACCCATTTCAAACATTTAAAACATCCTGCCTCAGCAGCTTTTCCGCTAATTTTTCTCCTGATGATGATTGCTTGTGTTGCGATCGAAACGTAGTTTTTTTTTTCTTTTAACCTATCTACGTGACTTTACCGAAAGACCCAAGAATACGTATAGTATTAAAAGATAAATTACTGAAACAAACGCAGCATAGTGAAGAAACGTAATTTTTTTGATATTCTAAGAGTACTGGAGGTCAATATAATGTAAAATTTATTTATTTCAGTGTGTTTATTTTTTACTCTATTTTTAGCTTTCTGTGTAATAAAGTCGTAAACAAATCCGAAGTTCGTTGTAACGAAAATTGATTTGTAGAATATACTACCCATATCGAGGTATTGCTGCACTTAATTATTTATTGTCATTTTTATTATACGGGATTATTGCATTCATAGCTCGGGTTCAGCAGTTATATCCGTGGGACCATTTTTTGGCAGTATCGCACATTATCAAATGCTTTCGTTATTATCAATGCATTTTTGATGATAAACCATCATCACACGAACTATGGTCATCCTCGCAGCTAGTGGCTATTGGCTATCGATCGAACGCAGATGGTCACCGCATCTTCGCACGCTTTCAGATGCGCTTCTTTGGCCATCTGGAACGCTCTTCCTTCCGATAACTAGATTTGCAAACCCATTTCTTCGGAACTGCTATTTTGTCCTTAGTTTGTTGGCCTTCCCTGCACCTCTGATTAGCACGGTTGGCTACGTATGGTGGAAAAAAATGTCAACATACATATGTTTGTTTGCATTGTCCTTGTACCGTTCGCCTTTTGGAATTGTTCCCTGGTTTAACACTGGTGCAGAGACAAGACCATTAAGGAGGAGGCTGTAGCTGTGGTATAGGCCAATCAGTTTTAAGGAGAATGTGTAACGATATTATAAAAACGTGTTTGTTTGCATTGTCCTTGTACTGCTCGCCCTTTGGCGTTGTTCTCTGGACTATAATTGCTGAGGCAAGGAGGCTGTAGCTCTGGTGTAGGCCAATCATTTCCAAGGGGCACTGCGTACATTACCATCACATCAGTGTTTGTTTGCATTGTCCTTGTGCTGTTCTCCAACCCCCTCCTCCTCCCCCTCCTTCCCACCAACTCTGGCTGGCCGTGCCAGGCGCGGTGCTCTGCAAGGTGGGAGCTGCTGCTAAGCTTGCTGTGGAGGGCCCACCGGGTGTGGTGGTGGTGCAAGCCGGGGCTACGGCCACGCTCGGCTGCTCCTTCCCCTGCGGCACCGTTGGGGTGCAGAGCACCGTGGTGGAGTGGGATATGGTTGAGAGAGGGGACAAGGTAAGAGGAGACTTGTGAGAGACTCGCAGACCTATATAAAAACGCGTAGAGATGCATAGAGATGCATAGACTCTCTCTATACCATATTCTTTGGGGTTTTTCGGTGAAGTCACGTAGGTAAAATAAAATAAATGAAAACAACTGAATAAAATCACGACGTTTCAGAGGCAATACAAGCCTCCGTCTTCAGGTGGAACAGTCACAGCAAAATAGCTGTATCTTTTGAGGAAGGTTAGCGTCTCGATGAGCTGTGACTTCTTGTCTCGTCTGTTAAAAGCTCTAACAGATAGGTGAAATTCCCCTAGAATTAATGCCCTCTGCGGGGAGGAATTTCACCTATATGTTAGAGCTTTTAACAGACGAGACAAGAAGTCACAGCTCATCGAGACACTAACCTTCCTCAAAAGATACAGCTATTTTGCTGTGACTGTTCCACCTGAAGACGGAGTCTTGTGTTGCCTCCGAAACGTCGTGATTTTATTTAGTTGTTTTCATTTATTTTATTTTACCTACGTGACTTTACCGAAAAAAACCAAAGAGTATGAATCCTTGCAGTCACGAAAGCTTCAAATCTATAACTCTCTATACCAACTAAACTAAACTTTTATTTTACCAGGTAATTCCCACTTAGCTATGTAGCATTTTTCAGAAGCGACCTCGTAATAATAATGTTAGTATTTGATAAGTACGTATGATACTGGCAAAAAATGGTCCCTCAAATATAACTCCTCGACCCTAACTAAGAATGCAATAATCCCGTATAATAAAAAAAAATCAAACAATCATTAAGTACAGCAATACCTCGATATGCATTGGATATTCTATAAATTAAGTTTCATGATAACGAACTTTGGATTTTTTTACTATTATTTAATACAGAAAGCTAAAAATAAAGTAAAGCAATAAACACACTGCAATTAATTAATTAATAATACGTTATATTGATCTCCGGTACTCTATAAATATCTGTACAATTATGTTTCTTCACTGTGCTGCACTTGTTGAAGTAATTTCTCTTTTACTAATAGTTTTTTTCAAAAGCGACCAGGCTTTCACAAATGATAGCTCAACGAAATGGCTTATCACGTGGAAATATATAGCAGCCAACTAGTCTAAAGGCACGATGTTCATGCTAAATGTGGAAAGGAAAACCCAGAGAACCCGGAGAAAAATCCACGTGACCACGGCGAGAGAGAAACACAAACTCCAAATATACAGGCATCGTGAGTGTCGAAATCAAATCCACGACTTCCTTTAAAACAGGCGAGGTAGTTTACATCTCCTAGTCACCGTGGAGACCCAAAACATCTCTCAACCACGTCCTGCTGGCCCAGATCCTCACAATCGATGGTGTCCCCAAAGCTTTTCTATCTATAAATATCTATGTGTCTGTATCTCCACGCCTCTATCTCTCTCTCGCTACGTGTCTCCATGGATCTCTCTCTGTCTCTCTACGCATCTCTATGGATATCTCTCTACATGTCTCTATGGGTCTGTGTGTGTGTGTCTCGACGTATCTTTCTATCTTCCTCTCTCATTACGTGTCTCTTTGGGTCTCTCTCTCTCAACATGTCTCTACGCGTCTATCATTCTAACTCTCACTACGTGTCTCTATGGGGTTCTCTCTCTCTCTCTATGCATCTGCACGTGTCTCTATCCCTCTCTCTCACTACTTTTCTCTTTGGGTCTCTCTCTCTCAACATGTCTCTACGCGTCTATCATTCTAACTCTCACTACGTGTCTCTATGGGGTTCTCTCTCTCTCTCTCTATGCATCTGCACGTGTCTCTATCCCTCTCTCTCACTACATGTCTCTATGGGTCTCTCTCTACCTGTCTCGACGTGTATGTCTATCTCTACGTGTCTCTAATGGGTCTCTCTCTCTCTCGTTGTGTCCCCACGCTTCCCTATGCATCTCTCTCTAGCTCTCTTTCTCTCCGTGTCTCTACGTATCTTCAGATATCTCTCTCTCCGTCTCTCTTCTTCGAACGCTGGGGGGCCGGAAAAGCCCTCTGTACCAGCGTGAACGACACCCTCATCTTCACCTTCTAAAGTGCTCGCTCGTCGGCGTGGCGTTTTATCGTGGTTGTGTTATTTGTTTCTGGTGACTGTATTTCGTATTGGGATCACCTCGAGTGCTGTTGCTATTGGCGGCAATAAACGTTGTTTTAAAAGTCAAAAGTCTCTCTATTTCACTCTATATCTACGTGTCTCTATGTATCTCTACGTGCCCACCATGCTTCTCTACACGTCTATATATCTATCTCTATATATATAAACACTTCTTCACCTCTTTCCGGCCGGCCCAGATCCTCATGATGGACGGCGTCCCCTGGCCCATGATCCCGCGAGCTGCATGGATCGGAGACTTCTCGACCTGCAACGCCTCCATCTCCTTGTCTGATGTGCGCGAGTCCGACTCCGGGACCTACTGCTGCAGCGTCCTGCTACTCAACATGTACTACGAAGGAGAGGCCTACGTGACCCTCAGGGTCCTGAGTCCATCTTCCGGTGAGTCAGTGAGTGAGTGAGGAGTCACCAGTAGTTGCTTTATATATAACTTTAGCCAAAGGGACACCCTTGGCGACCACTGTCATGGGTGCCTGTGCTGCACTAGGAGAGAGCAGGAGGAGGATGTGACTCTCAGGGTTTAGAGTAGGTCACGGGATGAGTGAGAAGTTACCAGTATATGTTTTATTTAACCTAGGGGACCCCTGGAGCATCAATGTCTCGGGTTTCGAGACTGTCCAACTACTCGCTTACAGAGCCACCTGCAGATCTGCTAACCGACATACTATTGAGTTTTGCAGACAGTTCTATGTTCTGTACGTGAATGAGTCGGCTCGTGACCCCCGTGCTCTGTGGCACGCCGTGGAGGGTCTGCTGCACTCAAACCACCCATCAACAAGTCAACACAGTCTGTGCACAGGACTTGTGATTATGAGACCTCCTTTGCCAGAAACAAGATATAGGAATAGGTTTTACCCTTTTAACTGGCACAAAAACTGACACCTTTATTCAAGGCATCATGTTTGCAATGACCACAACACAAGCAGTCAAAATGCAAACAAAAAAGACAACTCTGATAATAATATGCACTGTCCTTGAATTTGATTGGTCCACACCCGAGACAGCTTTTTTAGAGCCTAGTCTCCATTGGTGTTGGACCAGAAGACGCCAAAAGGCGTACAACTCAAAAACAGCGCACTATCAGAGTATTGAGGGCTCGGGGTGAGCATTAACATTATGAGACCTCCTTTGCCAGAAACAAGATATAGGAATAGGTTTTACCCTTTTAACTGGCACAAAAACTGACACCTTTATTCAAGGCATCATGTTTGCAATGACCACAACACAAGCAGTCAAAATGCAAACAAAAAAAGACAACTCTGATAATAATATGCACTGTCCTTGAATTTGATTGATCCACACCCGAGACAGCTTTTCTTAGAGCCTAGTCTCCATTGGTGTTGGACCAGAAGACGCCAAAAGGCGTACAACTCAAAAACAGCGCACTATCAGAGTATTGACGGCTCGGGGTGAGCATTAACATTATGAGACCTCCTTTGCCAGAAACAAGATATAGGAATAGGTTTTACCCTTTTAACTGGCACAAAAAAACTGACACCTTTATTCAAGGCATCATGTTTGCAATGACCACAACACAAGCAGTCAAAATGCAAACAAAAAAGACAACTCTGATAATAATATGCACTGCACCAATCAAATTCAAAGACAGTGCATATTATTATCAGAGTTGTCTTTTTTGTTTGCATTTTGACTGCTTGTGTTGTGGTCATTGCAAACATGATGCCTTGAATAAAGGTGTCAGTTTTTGTGCCAGTTAAAAGGGTAAAACCTATTCCTAGGACTTGTGATGTTCTCCGCTAATAAAATGCTGACGATCAAGACGGCAGTATCTAACATCTCCCATATAGCCTTTAACAAGTGCTGTAAGCGAGCACCTATGAAGGCCGGCATGGCACACGAGGGGTGGGTGGTCAGCACCATGTCCTGCCGCCTTTGTTTCCGTAGTAACGAAGTTTAATTATCACACCACGTACTCATTTGACGCTAAATCGACCTAGGGGAGGCCCACAACTGGTTCAGATAATTGTTACTGTTGTTGGTGGCCATGAGTGAGAATCAAACTTGTGTCGCCGAGTTCGTAGCGCAGTGCACAAACCGCTACACGACCACACCAATCAACATACACACATATATACACAATGTCAGCTGTCCCTGTGTGGCAAGAGCATTAGGAGGAGATGGGGATCCCGTTTGTATTTTGTTCATGCAGTGACTTCTAAGATGGACAGCCCTATGGCCTCGCCCTCAGCCTCTGAGAGGGTCGGAGTCATTGCTGCCATCATGCTGATCGTGGCGATTGCCGTTCTCCTGGCGAGCTGTGTCGCTGTTAAAAAACGGTGAGTCACACACTGCCCATAGAGTCGGTACTGACGATAAACTCAACACTGCCTCCCATTATATTATATTTAGGATTTATAAAGCACCGTTCGCCAAAGCACTTGAAAATGCTTACCGACTATAGTACAAAATGGCAAAGGGATAGGAATGGGGTAGTGACTAGGGTGGAAGGAGCAAAGGTGGAGGCTGTGGCTGGGGAGGGGTTAGGGGCGCTAGGTTGTGCTGGTTAGGGTGGCGGAAGAGGAAAATAAAAGGCAAGAGAAAGGAGATAGGAACTGAGGGCAATGCGAAAAGAAGAGAGCCAGGGGGAGAGTTGGATGTGGAGGAGTTTTTTTCCAGTGTAAGGAAGCAAGCAGAGAGAAGGAGCGAAAGAGAGATCGGCCACAGGGTGGAGGAGGGACCGCAAGAAGATAGGCAGCTTGTGACCGGAGCAGGTGTGATGGGACATATAAGGAAATGAGAGAAGATAGGTAAGAGGGGCAAGGGCGTCGGCAAGGAGACCGACCAGGAACGAGTCTCAATAATCCAGACGAGTGAAAACTAAGGGAGTGCACAAGAAGTTTCGCAACAGTGATAGTGATGAGGGGGCACATTTTTCTGATCTTGAAAGGATGGAAGTGGCATGGAAGTGATATTGGCGATGTGGGAAGTGAAGGCAAATGAGAAATCAAAGGTGATGCCAATAATTTGTACAGAAGCGAAGGAAGTGAGACTGAGCCGGGGGAAAGATATGGAAGGGGGGAAGAGGAGGAGAGCGGGAGGCGGGGAAGTAGAGCACAGTGGTTTTAGAATGGTTAAGGGAAAGGAAATGTTGTGTCATCCATGCTTGGATGGCCATTAGGCAGGATGAGATATGGTCGGAAAGGTCGGGTGTAAGAGCCTGAAAGGAAAATAAGATTTGAGTGTCGTTGGCAAATAGGTAATGAGAGAGATTGAAAGAAGAAAGGATGGGCTCGAGGGGGGACGTGGAAAGGGAGAATAGGTGAGGACCAAGTCCATAACCCTGGGGGATGGCAACCGTGGCGGGGGTGGGGGAGGAAGAACCACGGTTAAAATAGACAGTGGATGAACGGTAAGTGAGCTAAGAGCGGAACCAATGAAGTGGGGCACCAGAGATACCGAGGTTAGACAGAGTGGATAAGAGGATGGAGTGATCAAGGGTGTTGAAAGCCGCAGACAGGTCGAGCGAAATCATGGCAGATGAAAGGTCTGAGTGACGTGAGTTAGCCAAGTTGATGTGCACGGGGAGGAGAGCAGTTTCGGTGGAATGGAGTGGACGGAAATCAGACTGCTGGAGGGGATAGAGAAGAGGTGTAGGATTGAGTCGGATGTGAACGACAAATTCGAGGAGTTTGGAGAAGTAGGAAAGCAACGAAATATGGTGATCAGTGTGCAGGGATGGACTCAACACTGCCCATAGACTCAACACTGCCCCCCATAGACTCAAGACTATCCCCCATAGACTCAACAATGCACTATAAACTAAACAGAGTCAATAGATTTCGATTTAAAGCTTTCGTGACTGCAATGATTCATCTTCTTTGGTTCTTTCGGTAAAGTCACGCGCTGTGAGATTTGTGTCGTGTTTTACTGCGAGTCCACCAAAAATTGTGTCTACCAGACAGTCTCGCCCCCTTCACCTGATGAAGGCCGCTTGTGTTGTGGCCGAAACGTCGTGAGAATATTATTGTGTTATTTTATTTTATCAATTTATTATTTTATTCTCATTCTACGTGACTTTACCGAAAGAACCAAAGAAGAAGAGTCAATAGACACAACACTGCCCAAAGGCACAACAGTGCCACTCATAGACTCAACACCGCACCACAGAATCAACACTGCCCATGGACTCAAGAATGCCCATAGAAACAACACTCCCTATAGAACCAACACTGCACAAAGTCAGTGATGCCCGTGTGGATGCTCGTTGATGCTTATGGATGCTTGTGGATGTCTGTGGATGCTTGTGAATGTTTTCTGTCTGTCAATGTCTGTGGATGTCTGTGGATGCTTGTGGAATATTTTGGATGTCTGTGGATGCTTGTGGATGTTTGTGGATGCTTGTGGATGTCTGTGGATGCTTGTGGATGTCTGTGGATGCTTGTGGATGTCTGTGGATGCTTGTGGATGTTTGTTGATCTCTGCTCTCTCATTGTGACCGCTGCTACTCTGTGCTCTGCTCGCGATATGTGCAGGAGGAGATCAAGAATGAAGAGAGTGGAGGGAGATGAAGAGAAGCAAACGAATAAGTACATTCCACATTAGCCAGGATTTGTCCAACAGTCAGGGCAAATCGGGTTGTTATACAGGGTGACAGATTCGATTAGACCTGAGTTTGTTCAAACAGAAAATAATAATTGTTACTTTGGTGTCCTTGTTGGGTATGGAAGTTAAGTAACATCATAATTGAGCAGTCGTGCACAGTATTAGCGTGGCATGCGCACCGTCATAACACAGAACTCACGCGCTATTATAACGTGGATCGCACATGGTAATGATGCGGTTTCCAAGCAGTCGATGACAAACTACTGTATTGCGCTGCGTGGCTGAGCGGTACAGTGATACAGTGCACAGAGTGATGCAGTAACGCAATGGAGGCGTGCCTTCAATTATTTGTCACGACATGTCACTGTTATTTATGGCGAAATAGTGTTTTTGCTTATAATGCGTTTAAACTCAACGCAGTTTAAAATATTCAGGAACGCACCTACTCCTAGCGTGGTGCACGAGGAGTCGCTGGACTCACGTTTAACCGAAGCATCTGCTTTGTTTGTTTCAGACAGAAGGAACATCTCAATCCCTCCATCGAGACAGGTACAGGCATCCGACTTACAAACATCCACACTTACGAACATCCACCTGGCTGACGAACATCTGCACTTAATCACGTCCACAATTGCGAATGGAGCGCCATAAGACGTTATTATTCTTAACCATCTGACTTTCGCTCATAACTTACGAGCCGAACTGTGGAATAAATTTTGTTTGGCTGAGTGATTCTCCGCTCGATGTAACAAGTCCCTGGGACTCATTATGCCCCTTCCAGGACTTAAAGTACCTGAAAATAAAACATATTTTCTTTTTACGTGACTTTATTTTACATGTTATTTATTAATATTACATTTATTTATATTAACATCATGTGGAGTTTTATAGCAGTAGCCAAATCCTCTAAATGCATGTTGATTCTAAATGTGGTGGCAAAAAACAGAGGACCCGGATACAAATCCACACTACGACCACGGGGGGAGAGAGAACACGCAGACTCAAATTGGTGTCAGAAACGGAACCCCATTGCAAGACGAGCATCGCTTCTATTCTGTGGGATGATTATATTATGAATGAACAAATTATTTTATTTTTTCATTACAGACAAGGATTTGCCTTGTAGCCTTTGACAGGGATGTTGGGGCAAGTGTTGTTCGCGAACAACCGAGTAAGAGGACAGGGGAGTAGAGTAAGATTATGAAATTTATTTTAACACTGACAATAAAACAGTTTAATTCAATGTTCTTTAAGTTAACATTTTACTTATTATTTTCGTTATTATTTATGTCCCTTTGTCTTCGTATTCCTGGGTGATAGTGTAAAGGTTATGCACCCTCCATTAGAGGTTTTATTTGGGTTAGATCGCGTAAATATACGTGTCGTTAAAACCCGCCACCACCCGACACAGCCAACTCGTAAGGGTTGTCACGTAAACAGATCATGCAAATTCGTCACTAGTCCAGCACACCGGTATGTAGGCGAGCCATGCCACAACATTTACAATCTGATTACGACGTTTCGCCAGTAATTACAACTAGCTTCATCAGGCGACAGCCAGATTTATTTGTTCCTTATATAGAGGCGTAAATGTGGTGACCACACTTCTGCGCTCTTGTGCAAAGTGTGGAGGGGGGGGGGTTACTGAGTCAACGTACATTATGAATGTGCATTATGCGAGCCCTTTGATCTTGCTCTTCCTGTCCATTGTGTGTATTAAAATAACCGTACCAACGGTAATCCCTCTTGAAGTATGGTGGCCTATATAGGCATGCATTTAAACAATGCATTATTTTATTATTTGCGTCCACACAGCACTAAGTACGTAGCTATCTAACCCCAAAATCCTATATTATGGATATTGGTTGCAAAAGCCTACTTGTTAATAGAAAAAAATCCTAAAATATTTTCAAAAGATAATTCATGCATACGTGCAAAATGTTAATAATGAAAATCAGCTTCAACATTCGTTAACATAAATATAATATCCTGTAGTAACGTTCTGTGTCCTGACTTTTCAGCCACCCTGTATAATAATAACCCTGTGTCCTGACTTTTGTGCCACCGTGTATAACGACAACGCTATGCGTCCTGACTGTTGTGCCACCCCTCTCTCTCTCTCTCTTCCTCCTGGTTGTCCTTAGCAGAATGACGAAGGGAAGAGCTTCTTTCAAAAATGCCACCAAGAAGAATGCTGGCTACCGTGATCTACAGAGCTGGGAATCAGTTCCTCTACAGATCTCATTTCTCTTTCTGTCTCTCTCTCTCTGCATGCAGATCTGTGGTGGCAGTGAGATGTTATCTCCCTCGCATGTTATGCAGGAGGTCGTGGGTTCACTCCCGATCCTGACGATGCCTGTTGTATATTTTGTAGTCCGCATGTTTTCTCTCTCTCTTTCTCCCCATGGTCATTGCATGGATTATTTCCGGGCCCTCCGTTTTTTATGTCGAACTGAACTTCTTTTGAACCATACGCAGCCTACCGTGCTTATTGGAGGTGCATCAACATGAGAATCAACATGAGTTTAGAGTATTTAGTGTGCCTTACCTAGTATATAATTTTTTTATATATTTTACGTGGCTAGGTTGCCATGCAATTCTTGCCAGCCGACAGACAAACTTCCACAATTACATAAAAAAATGTAACTTAATAGCAGTAATTATTTTGTAAAATTACAGTCACACTTCAAAGTCAGTGGTTGTAATCAAAGGGTGATTTGGAGTGAAGACAGAGAGCCAGAATGAAGATGCCAAGACACGAGACTAGGTGATTCCAAACACATTGGGGTTAGCTACATTAAATGCTTGTGTCAAATCTGGGGAACTGTTAACAGATGATCAGACACACTTCACGGCTCTTTCAGGATTTCCCAACGGAAAAAGCATGTCAGACAAATAGCCAAAGAGATCTCCTGAATGCCAAACATATCTATTATTTCGTCTTCAATATCGTATTTATTTATTTATTCATGACAATGACATCCGTACGTTGAACTTATTTCTCACCACACGTAGCTAGCCATGCTTATAGACTGGTGACAAGGGGCCTGGAATACAAATCAGACCACCCTGCATCTCTGTGTAAACCATGTGGTTATTCTCGTTATTCATGGTGCAAACATTCACACGAATGTGTTTGGGAGGGCATGATAACCGCATTAGAAACCGCGTGGGCAATGCTGGTTCATGATTAGCTCAGGATTGATGGGCCGTACTTTAGGCCCCAAAGACAAAGATCCCACTTATAGCCTTTACAGACTGTAGGGGCCAGTGCTATTATTAGCACATATGAAGGCCGGCACTGCACATGAGGGGGTGGCCGGCACTGCCATGAGGGGGTGGCCAGCACCACCACCATATACTCATTTGAGACCCAAGTCGACCTAGGAGTCAAGTCCAGAACTGATTCAGATAATCGGCACTGGTGTTGACCGTCAGGGGAAATCCAACTCAGATCTCTGCTGGGGTTTGTAGCGCTGCGCGCTAACCACTGCGCCAACGCTTTCCCCACATTTTGGACACCACCGTTCCTCAGTGGGTCCCGTTCACCGCTAAATCTCGGAACGCAGGCAGCGTTTCAGCTTCAATGTTATTGAGAGAGGCATAGTAGCGCCGTCGTTTTTAAAGACGTTACTTACCGCAGAGAACCACGCTCTACGATAGCTGGCGCCAAACTATGCCACACATCTGCCCGCATGGCCTTGTGGGAGGATCGATACTGATAGTTACTTTAGTTATTTTATTTGTTAAAAGGTTAACATTAATCTTTAGCCATCCTTAATTATAGAATAACACTTGCTTTACTTTCTATAATATATGGAAGAACCTGGTGAACTTAAAACAATATTTCTAGATTTGAAGCTTTCGTGACTGCAAGGATTCACTCTTTGTTTTTTTTGCGGTAAAGTCACGTAGGTACAATAAAAAAAATGAAAACTAAATTATATCACGACGTTTCGGAGGCAACACAAGCTTCCGTCTTCAGGTGGAAACCGTCACAGCAAAATTGCTGTATCAAGTTAAGAGAGCTCTAAGATACCCGAGATTATATACAGTTTAAGGGGGGGGAGGAACCAGGAAGGGCCGTGGGGGGGGCTAAGTTAAGCCGCCTTTTGTTATGCTGCAGGGGGAGAGGGGGACGGAAAGGCGATGGCGAGCGGTGATCAAAGACGAGCGCAGCCAACTGGAAGAAATGGAAATGGCTGTACAATTATAAGGCAGCTAAAGTTTGACTTGGTTGATGACATATTTCCAATGATTGCTCAATTTAAAACCATCCTCTCGGTTGAAGTTGTGTCTATGTTTGTATATCAGGATGGCTTCATGGACAAATCTATGGTAGTATCCGGGAGGTTTGCTGAGTATTTTGGTATCGGAGAAAACAATATCATGAAAACCCGCTGTGTTTAAACAGTGATCAGCTACGACCGAATAATTTGTTCTGCCGTGTTTCAAATCTGATTTGTGCTCGCAAATTCGGTCAGAAATATGTCGTTTCGTCTCCCCGATATAGCAGTCACCGCAGGTACAACTCAATTTGATCTATGGTGTTATGGTTGTTAATCTGATCTCTAAAACAGCTGCTTCTCCTGTGAAGTCGGTTAAACTAAAAATTGATCATGTATCCACTTTTATTCTGAGAGAGTATTGCAGTGCTTTGTTACTACTCGGGGTTCTGACGAAGAACTTGGGCCGACTACTGCTGGTCCAGAATTTTGCTGCCAGGATGCTCACGCAAACCTCATCCCGTAAGCACATTGCCACCCTTATAATAAAATATCTGCATTGGCCTCCAATTACATTTCAGATACAAAGGTCTTAAACAGCCTTGCACATTTTTTTTTTACATTCAACAACTGATTACCTGCACGTACCGTCACGAATTCTCCAATCCGCTGATTTATCATCTGCACCTGGGGTGACCGAGCCTTTGCATGCGTTGTGCCAAGACCACGGAATGACCTCCCACACCAGTGGTTAGAGAGGCGAGCCCACTTGCCCATTTGCGTCTTCTCTTAAAACTCATCTGTTTTGCTTGGCCTACACTTCCCATGTATGACCAGTGGACTACGGACTTATATGTCGACTTCGTTCATGGCGCACTGAGATCCCTTGATGAATTGTGCCTAATAAATGTTAATTATCATTATTGATAATTGCAGGTGCAGATTGTCAAAGTTGGCCGCCATTATTGAGGCCTATATACATAGTAGAGCCAGTCTTGCTCTATAATGTGTTGTGTTATGTATTGTTATTTAAAATTGTAGAATCTATATGATATATTCGTAATGTGCAGTTTTGAACAGATGAAAAGTTTATTTATAATTGCCATATGAGCTAAGAAGCTCTTGAATCGAGTTTCATCAACAATGTAGGTGATAACTATGATGGCAGCAATATTTTAAATCATAGTACTGGTATAGTATTGCATATTATAGTTAGTATGAGCATAGTAATATGAATAGTGGTGAGGAAAACCGTATTAGAGCCTGTCTCCAGTTTAGGACAGTCTGACAGTCTATGATGTTTATACAATGCATGGATCAATTGAGCTGGATTTACGACGCATCTTCCAAAACGATTCCGAACGCATTTGATCAGTCTGCTTCCCGATGTGACTTTGGAAGGAAAAAACCACATGGGCAAGTGATGATTCTACTGTCTATGGGAACATCGGGTCCGATTAACAAGGACCCGATTTACTACCACGGGGTTTATATGAATGCATTGCAGAGTCGTAAAAGTGGGGACCACCTGTATTATACATGGTAATTAGGATGAATATCACATTACACATTCTAGTATGTGCAATATATGTGTTAATGTTAACAGGCACGTTTTCATGGATGCAAAGCCAAGTGGAGCACTGGAGATCCGTTGGTGTACCGTTCAAATAAAGAGGTGCCATGTTTTGAATGCTCATTGTGCGGGTTGCTCCTTTCCAAACCGTCTCGCTTCCCCTCCAACAATGGTGGCAAAAATCGACAAACCCTCCTACTGAGCCTGGCAGTCCACTTTTACCCACCGGACGAACTGCCATCGTCCAGTCAAACCCCGGTTTTACATTGGTGGGATGGGTTCCTGAAAGGTGCAAGACGAATATTGAAAGGACAGAAATGAGAGCAATGTCTTTTTCTTGTTCGCACCCACCCCCCCTCGAGAGCTACTCGAAGACAACGGAGGGTCACGGTGATGCCTCGTTAATCCTAGACCTATGCAACGTTCCATGAAACTACAAAAATACCCTGATCGACACTAGTATAGGGCAGTAGACTTTAACACAAATCGCTATCACTATGCTCACTCCACTGCTAACTGCTTCGGCTTCGCTATCACCATGCTCCAACTCTCTTCTAAACTCTGTTTCTGAACTCCACGTCTTCACCGCACAGCTCCCAACTCCAATCTCCCCTTCTCTCTCTGTCTCCACCCAATGTATCCCTATTCTCATTATCACTAATTAATTGGTCCGCGTGCCTCCGCACACCTCGTGTCTTCAAGCACCTGCCTTTTTTCAGACACCTCAATGCCTCCTCGGCCCCAACAACAGCACCAACCAATCACAGCCCTTCTGGCTTAATTGGCCCAACCGTTACCGCATCACCCCAGCCTCTTCACCTGGCTGTCCTAACACGACCCCACTGTTTACGGCGTCTCCTCAGGCTAACCCCAGATAAACCCCACACTGTCCGTGTGATCAACACAATCGCGCAGTTTCCCCAGCACACCTTCCTACTCCACATCATCCCCCCCCCCCCCGTGATAAAAAAAAATCTAGCCGTACCGGCTACAATGATATTTTGAACCTGGGGGAGTGGAGTACCGCGGACATAACAATGAACAACACAACTTTGTACAAGAACCCCGACACGCAAAGTCAATGGAAGGTCCGTCCTCGGGAGCGAGTTCCAGCTGCCGGCCCATTTCCCCTACACGGAACACCGTGGGGCAAGGGCGGGCCTCGCTCCTCCGTTAAGTGAGGGCCGCTCCTGGTCATCAACACACCCCCGTCCCTGTCCCAGCGACCATCCGCTGGCGGGACTGTCCATCGTCCATGCTCGGGCCAGACAGCATTTCGAAGTTGCGGCCAGCAATCCTGCCCGAACCCCCTCATCGAGTCAATAGGGATGGTCCTGCAGGCACACGGGGGGCAGATTTCTGAGGCGCGTACACATGCGACCTCCTCACAGGCTCGGACACATCCAATACAGGCTGCTCTGGGATGGGAGATGACGCATCATCCGGCAATACAAACTTCTTAAGGCGCAACGGGTGAACATACCATGTCCGATGACCAAATCAAATTCGTATACTTTGATCTCGGAGAACCTCAACAATCTCAACGGGCCCCTGCCAGGCCCGATGGAACTTTAGGGACGTTCCCACCGGTACCATGGGGCAATGTAACCACGCTTTATCCCCAACACACCACGGCTCTCGAGGCCGCTGCGTTCCATGCAACCGTTCATTGGTGGCTTGTCGTCGCGCCGTGTTACTCAACGCGGCCTCCCGGGCCTATCTCAGACGGTCCAATGACACCTGCATAGGAGCAGGCACCGTCGATGACTTCCCTTGTTTCTGTAGACACCCAATTTAACAATGGTCGGCGCTTCCAGTTCGCGCCCATACATCAAATAAAATGGTGAGTACCCCGTCGAGGCATGCAGGGTCAGTCTTTAAGCGGCCAGCGTCGCCGCAACATGCAGGTCTCAATCATCCTGTGCAGTATTAACCTGGTGGCAAAGTATAGACGTCAGCGCCCTATGCAAGCGCTTGACCATCCCGTCAGTTTGCGGGTGGTATGGGGATGTTCGAATCTTTTTGGTCCCCAATGAATCACACACCTCCTTAAATCAATCGTGACGAAAAATTTCTGCCCTGATCAGTGAGCAAATGCTCCGGGGCACCCTTATCCAAAACATAACCTTGCAAGAAAGCCTCGGCGATTGACGCCGTGGATTGGTCCACCAGTGGCCATGCCATAGGCCAGTGAGTAAGGTACTCCACCCCGACGAGCAGATACCTATGCCCCCGGGGGGTGACAGAAAACGGACCCAACATATCTTGGGCAACAATTTCGTTGAAACCTGTATCGATTGCAACGGTACACGATAGGGTCGTGCCGGCACCTTCCTCCGCGCACATTCATGGCATGCTTTTACATATCGCTGAACATCGTTATACATTCCCGGCCAATAAAAATCCTTTCCCAAATTCAACGCGGTCTTCTTCTCCCCCAAATGCATCAACTTGTCATGCGTATCACTAATGAGTTTCCCGCGCAACACAATCGGAACAATGAAAAACTTATGTGCTTCAACATCCCAGCAAACGAGGAGACCAGTGATAAGTTTTAGAAAGGGGCGATATTCCGATCCCCTTTAGCGAGAGGCACGCAGCCTCATCCTGGTCAGGGAGGAGTCATCCACCTGCAATCATTTCCAATGACCCAACGTCAACCCCAGCAAACCCGATTCTACCGCAGGAATCGCTTCTGGCCTAATTGAATCCGCTGCAACGAACATTGACGGAACGTCCTGCAGTGGCGGACCGCAACGCAGTGAGCCCTCCGCACACCGACACGAGTCAGTTGGTTGCAGCAGTCTTGACAAGGCGTCAGCGTTAACATGACGCATCCCCTTCCAATGCTGGATCATGAAAGAGTACTCCTGGAGGGTCTCGAGCCAACGGGCCATCTGTCCCGATGGCTGGTCAACTCGCAACGAGTACTGTAGTGCCGCGTGGTCAGTGCGGATCAAAAACTCAAAGCGCACGATTGCCAGCAACTCCCTGCGTGTTACACAATACTTCTGTTCAGCCGGAGACAACACCCGGCTGCCATATGCCACAACTTTTCAACACCGTCAACCCTTTGTGACAACACTGCGCCTATGCCCATATCACTGGCATCTGTGTCAAGAATAAAGGTTTTCTTAAAATCCGGGTATCCAAGCGGCGGTGCATCCGC